CACTGTCCCCTCCTATGTCACACACATGGGTGGACCCAGCCTCATTTTGATGCTTTCTAGAAAGACCTTACAGACAGCCACTGTTGAGTGAAGAGCCATGAGATTCAAATTGAACTTGGTATGAATGTTTGCTGCCCCTTCCTTCCAAGGCTCCCTCTCACTGCTCCCCCGCCCCCTTGTCTATCAAGATCCCATCTGCTCTCAAGGTTTGGCTGAAATGTCAGCTCCTCCATGGTCACTTTCAGATCTCGTCATACTGTCCTTCTTACTGATAATAGCAGATCTTTGGTCTCAAAACCTGTGCCTCCTTGGTAGCTGAAGCAAAATCTTGATTGTTTAACTATCCCCTGCAGATCTAGAATTCATGTCCCTCTGAAGGATTTAACTGTGGAATGAATTACCCTGAGCTGAGCATCTGTGGAACTGACTGTTGAAGGTTCTTAGGAGTGATGAAGTGGATGGATGGTCACTATACCTGGTAGTCTAGAGTCCTTGATATGGATGGCTCTTTTCTTCTCTAGGAGGGGCTCTACCTGCCCAGTAACTCCTCTGCTGTAGGCTGAGAAGCCCAGACTGTCCATCCTCCTGGCGCCTAAGACCCAGTGTTCACTTGAAGGTCCCTAAAAATTGGTTTTATTTTGTTTTACTTATGAGACAGAGTCTTTCCAGGTATTCTGGCCTGCCCTAGAACTCATGGCAATCCTCTTGCCTCAGCCTGCTGATGCTAGGATTGTACAAATGAGCCACCTTTGAGGGCTTTTAATGTCAGTTCTGTCCTCCTTCCAGACTACTTCTGAGTCTGGTCTCCTCTGACTGAAGCCCAGATATAATTTAACTATGGAACTTGAGATGAAACTTGATCTGGAAGTAGCAATGCATTTGACAAAAGGGAAGGAAGAAAGAAGGGAAGGAGAAAGATGTTACACACAACAGGTACATATAACTTACTTCCCTCCTTGAACAGTATATTTACACCAATGACTGAGAATCTCAGCTTTGTTGTCACAGGGCTTGGCTTGCCACACACAGAGGAAGAAAGATGCTCTCCTAACAGTTACTCCTCTCTACGTACCAAACACTACCACCTAGAACTCAGGAACCAAAATAAATCTTCCAACTAAAATCCTATGAAATCAAAGTAGCACGATTAATGTAAAGTGTAAACTAAATTGAAACAGAGCTTCTGAGAGAGAACACCAGTAGGAAGCGATGCCTACTGGACGCCAATAAGCACTGAACCAGCTGGATTAGGAGCCAAGCCCATGACTTCTTCATTAAACTGAGGACCCTTGAGGGAGGCTAATCTGGTCTTATGTTGGTATTGGCCACTCTCAGTCCCCACGGAAAAAGAAAAGCAAGGCCTCAGAATTTCCCACAGATTAAAACAAATTGGAGCTCACAGTCAAAGACTACTAAACCAAGGTAGTATGTGTGTGTGTGCATGCATCCATGTATGCATGGTGTGTGTGTGTGTGTGTGTGTGTGTCTGTTTGTATGTGTGTGTGTATGGAATCAAGAAAAGCCAAATCACTGTTCATAAACCACAGATGCCACAAATCAATTTATGCTCCCAGGAATTCAGGATTTTAAAGGAAAGGTCAAGCAAGGGCAGTGGTATCAGGAGCCTTTAATCCCAGCACTTGGGAGGCAGAGGCAGAGGCAAGCAGGTCTCTGTTAGTTCGAGGCCAGCCTAGTCTACAGAGTGTGTTCTAGGACAGCCAAGGCTACACAGAAAAACCCTGTCTCAAAAATCAAAACAAAACAAAAGAACAAAACAAAGAAACAAAGGTATAAAAGCAAACAAAAGCCAAGAATTCAGGATTCTGAAATTAAGAGATACAGAAAATAAAATAACTGTGAAGAAAACGTTGAAAGGAAACAGGGAGATCGTACACATGAGTGGGCAAGACTAATGAAATGACCAAGCTGTTAGAAAAAGAACCAGCTAGAACATACAGCAATAATGTAATCATTGAAATAGGAAATTAAGTGGATGAACGGAACAGCAGATTAAACACAGTTAGAGGGAGAAAAGAAATAATTCTGAAACGATTACCCAGCATGTAGAATAGAAAAGCAAGGAAGTCGAACATCTGGATGAGGAGCCTGATGATTTGTAGAACATAACAAAGATGCCCAGTGCGTTTCCAAGCCTTAGTCTAGGAAGACAGAGTAGGATGTATGCAGTAGAGGAAGTATACATCACTTACTTATTCCCAATGAACGTAAAGCAAGTGTCTTGGAAGCCCAGTGTTAAAGCAGACTCTTCAAAACCATAGACCTCCATTTAAAGCCAATAATAAGTAATTGAAAACAAATTTGCGTACATGTGTGTGCACATGTATGTATAATCATTGTTTCTCTACCGTATTTCACTGACTCAGTCGGTGCACTAAAGCAAGAGATAGAAACCATCTGTGCTAATTAGAAAGAGGAGACAGCACTCAATCATTTGCCAAGTCTGTCTACAGAGAAAACCCAAAGGTGCACAGGTAAATTATTAGAAGTGAAAGAATTCTTAAGATTACTGTATCTAAGACCGATAGATAAAAACCAATTGTTTTGCCCCAGGCTACACAATGCGCTAATGTTTAAAATAGCAATATAATTTACAATATACCAATGGATCAAACAGCTATGTGAAGGTATCATGACATTTCACGAGAGACTATTGACGAGGCCTGAGAAATTAAAAGCTTTATGATTCTTGAGGAATTGGAATCAGGAACATGCCAGTTTCACCCAATCCCACCCACCACCACCCCCCGTAGGTTCATGACAATTCTTGTGAAAATTCCAAAGTCTTAAGTGGTATTGAGCAACAGACTCCTGTGTTTGAGTATATGTCCAGAAGAGCCACACTCTCTTAAAGGATGCAGAGAAGGAAGAGATGGAAGTCTCTCTTACAACACAGCAAGATTATTAAAAAGCTGTAGTAACAGATACAGGATTTAATGAGTTACCTTAGCCCACAGGGAATACATCCCAAGACCACGTAGATGACTGACATCTGAAACCAACTAGGATTCCACACTAAGTGTACTGTTTTCTCTACACTATTTACTTATGATAATGTTTTAATGTGTAAGCTAGGCACAGTAAGAGTTTAATAGCAACATGTAGAGCAATTACATAAAAACATACTATAAGCACAATTCTTAAATACGGTTTTCCCCTAGTGTTTTGTATTTTATTTTCTTGCTTGAAACACCTTACAACTTTTTTTTTTTCTTATTTGAGTCTGTGTCTGTTATGTTAGAGAGGCTTACTTAAACACCAGGACAGTGATACAGTTGTGCCATCATTTCCAGGCTGCAGTGTGAGACCGGCCAACAGCCTAGCCATATTTCTTTAAAAAGGAAACCAAGCGGTAGAGTGCTTCATTCACAGTAAGTATTGTTTGGTGGCCGTGTTTTCTGGTGTCCAGGAAGATGTCTGGAGTTTGCCTGCTAGCCAGCCAGCCTCCTTGAATCAGAATCAGTCAGCTCCAGGCTCAGTGAGAGACCCAGTCTTAAAAGATAAAAGTACAGAGCGGTTGAGGAAGACATCTGAAGTTGACCTGTGGCTCCACATGCAAGAGACATGCGCCTGCTCAGACACCCAAACACTTACATATGCGCATGCGTCTGTTTGGACATCCAAACACATATGCGCATGCGTCTGCTCAGACACCCAAACACTTATGCGCAGAATCACACTAAGCAATGTTAAGGGATATCTGGGTCAAGCATAGTTTTAAGACGAGCAAGGTGCATGCTCACACAGCAGGCGGTTATTTGACACCTACAGGACTCTGGCTGGAAATGGTTCTGGATGAAGCTCTGCTGCCCCCTGGTGTCTGACTGGTGAATGGCAGTAGGGTCGCTTATGAGACTGCAACTGTTCAGGCTGCAACCAGGCTTAACCCTACATGGAAAGGATTAAGCAGCTTTGGGCGCTCCTGATTTGTGTTCTTCTCCCTTCTCACTCTGTACTAATCTTCTGACTCTGAGAGTGACAAGGGTAACCCCACTAATACATGTCCTTGGGTGGAGCCAAACCGACCCTACTGTTGGCTCTGCCATGTGTCCCATCGGAGTCTCTCACCTCATCACCAGGAATCGATGAGACCCAAAGAGAGCGCTCAGTGACTTCCGGAGGAGGAGAGACTTGGGGGTTGATGCTCAGAAACCTCTGTTCAGATTACCTTTCCGCAATTATCATCTTTGGGAAATTGGGGCCTCTAGGGGAAGCTGAGAAAACAGGAAACAACAGGAAGGACTCGTAAGGTCATATATGGGTTTGCTATAGCGTTTGGGGAACAGAAAGAGTCCATGCACCGCCTGATAGAAACACTAGGGGCTGGAGAGATGGCTCAGAACTTAAGAATGCTTACTGCTCTTCCAGGGGACTCCAGCTCTCAACCGCCTGTAACTTCAGCTCCGGGAGATCTGTTGACCGGGTCTTCTAACCTCCTTGGACACCGGCACACATACATACATAGACACACGCTCACACATAAAATACAAACATATCTTAAAAAGACTTCCTGGCGGGCTGTTGACTGTGGGAGCTGGACCCAAGGCCCCACATCTTAATAAGGCTGAGGTGGCCCAGAAGGAGGACACTGGAGACATCTCCAAAGCCCTTGGGAAGTCAAGGCTTCTGCCCAGAAGCCCCACGCAAATGAGTCCCTGAGCCATCGTCTGACCTGGGCCCTGTCGGTCCCTCTGTGAAGGGCATTTACTGTCATCAAGTTTCTGTTCCAGGCCTGCAGTGTGGACCTAACACCGTGCCTGTTAAGTGTTCTGACTCATCTGGGTTGATAGAATTGACCACGCAGAGCTCTGAGCATCTGATGAGAGCCTGAGAGGGTGGCGTCGGTCCTGGTGACTTGAAGTAGCCTCAGGTCACATAAGCTCCCAGTACTGCTGAGGCTGGGATGAGCCCCAGCAGGGTGATGGCTTAAGGAGGAAGGTTTTCTGTCACTGGAGTAATATCTTCCTTCTTTCCCCCTCCAGACACCATGGAGACGGTGCTGGTTCTCTGCAGCTTGCTGGCCCCTGTGGTCCTGGCTAGTGGTAAGCATCCTTTAGGGCCTTTCTGCGCCAAGCTGGGAGACACAGCCCTTTTTGGTAGTAAGCTCTGGCCCTTTCAGACATTCGGGTCAAGAGACCTTAGGCAGCTTTAAGCATCTGGTCAAGGGCTCTTACTGTCAGCAGAGGAAAAACATCCTAGTTCAGATGTCCCCTGCATCCCCCCGACTACTACCTACAAGGGTTCAGCTACCCATCTCTTAATCTCTCCAGGTACCTGGGCTCCTGTGGAATTGTAGCCTAGACTGAAATTAACCCATCCTGACTTGATATGCAAGTCATGAGTCTTCCCTGCCCCTTGGTCTCAGTTTCCCCATTTGTCACTAGATGACAGTAGACCTGGCCTTTTGGAGTAAATGACAGGAATGATGTGAGCCCGGGACCTCAAAAGCTCTGAGTCATACCTGCCCTAGATGAGGACCCTAAGCCCAGCAAGCCTGTCTTCTGTAGTCTCCGGTATCTCTGCCCAGTGAGTCCCCGTCACAGGGACCCTTTTGTGGGGACTGGAGGTTATGGGGCAGGTGAGAAGTCACAGGGAGCGTGGCTGCCATCCTCTTGACTGTGTTGTGTCGTTCCCAGCAACCGAGAAGGAGAAAGAAACGGATCCTTTCTATTATGGTGAGTGAACTCAGCAGCCCTGGGGTGTGGCCTCACCCAGGAGGGACAGGCGTGTTCTCCCGGCCCCGCCTCTTCCCCACTCTCACCTCTGGTCTCTTTGCAGACTATCAGACCCTGAGGATTGGGGGATTGGTGTTTGCTGTGGTCCTCTTCTCCGTTGGGATACTTCTCATCCTAAGTAAGTCTGTCCCTTTTCTCGATAGCTGCCAGACAGATGGGGACAGGAAACAAACCTAGCTATTTTGTCTGTGGGAAAGGAGATACCGCTCCACGGCATCTCCAGGATCAATACAGGGTTGGGCATCTAGTAAATGCTCGGTAAAAAGGAAGGTGAGCCCAGAGGATGGAGGTGAGAACAGACACAGCTAAGAGCAGGCTGCATCCTTAGAGCAGGGGTTTGGCCATCCCAGGAGTCAGAGGCTGTTCTCGCCATGCTCCTAGGAATGTGTCCCTGTGCATTTTCCCTACATGAGCTGTGGTGTTGAGTGTATGTTTGCTCATGGTAGGAAAGGGCAAAGTTCATCATAGTCGGAAGGCATCATGGAGTAGCTTGGTCCATAGTACCAGACATATGTGGCTTGTTCACATTAGGACAGACCAGGAAGCAGAAAGCTCAGGATATAACCAAAAGTGGCTACCACCTCCAAGACCTGCCCCAACTACCCACTTTAGTTAGTTCTGCCCCACCTCCCAAAGATTCTCCCTCCCACAAGCAACACCCACTGAGGATCAGGTATCCAGACCCAACTACTGTTGGGGGTGGGGAGGCTGCATTCCATTTACCATGTCAACCATAGCACCTGGCCTCAGTTGACCCAGGGGTGCTTCCGGCAGCAGTGTAGGTGTCCTGTGTCTGGCAGTGCCTTTGTCCTGTACAGACTCACAGTAGGTCTTCTGTGTCCAGGCCTGGAGCCTGACCTCGAACTGACAGTGTCTGGGATCGTGACCTTGGATGGTTTCTTTGTGTTTCAGGTCGCAGGTGCAAGTGCAGCTTCAATCAGAAACCCAGGTAAGGGTGCTGGGGCTGTTGGACAGGGAGAGGCCCATGGAGTGAACCCTGTGGGTGTTCTTTTGTCTCAGAAAGAGAACGTGGGGAGCTGGGGACTTCCAAGTGATTTAAGAACAAAGCAGAGGGCACAACATGGAGGAGCATCGACAGATGTAAATTCCTGGGTAGGAATGTGCTGGAACCTTGTGTAGAGGCCCTGGAGACAGCAAGGCTTCCTAGGAGAGAAGTAGAGCAGATACCTGCTCTGAGGTGCAGGGCTGTTTCGGGAGATATTTACGATCAGCGGCACCCAATCTTGTTCTTAACTAGCCGCCATCTTCCCAACTAGGCAAGGCCTATGACCACGAGCGGTGGCGGTGTACTCGGCTCAGGCCGCCAGCTCAGCCACCCATGAGATGCCAGCATGGGAGATAGCTCTGCCAATCTTCCACGCTGTCTCCACAAGGCTGGGCTGAGCCCAGATCACCCCGCCATCCACACAGTACCCGGTAGAAATGAGACTCTAATGTTTAAAGATTATCTAATAGCTTTATATATTTGGTAATGTTCAAATAACAGGAAGCCCACACAATTAGAGGTGTAACCCAATACTCAACCTAGATATATCAACTACCTTTGACTGCTAGAGAAACGCCCACGTCCACTGCCATGTCCCCCTCTCTCTGGTCCTTGCTCCCTTTCCCACTCCTTCTCTTCTTCCTCCTCTTCCTCTCCTTACTCCTCCCACCTTAGCTCCTCCCAACTTGCGGGGAAAATATGCTGCTAAACAGGGCAGGGACATTGGGCCTGTTTCTCATCTTCTCCTGAGGCTCTGTGCATTGTGTAGACACCTGGCCTCCTTTCTACACGAGATAAGTTATACCTCGTTCATTAAAACAGCCATGGTGGTCATGGACCTCAGAAGCCAGAGTCAATGGCAGGCACACCCAAACCCTACCTTGGGGCAGACACTGAAGGGTACCCATAATTCTCTGCTTCTGTCCAGATCAGTCTGACTTCTCCAGTCACCTTATGCGTCCCATGGTAGAGTGTTTGAGTCCTTCAGGGGGCTTTGGAGGGAATGGGGTCCTGGGCTCTGCTTCAGCAAAGAGAATGAGGGATATTCTGTTTGCCCTGGACTTCGGTGACAGTGTGTCTCTGCTTGTCATAGGGCTCCAGGTGACGAAGAGGCCCAGGCGGAGAACCTCATCACCACAAATGGTAACTGCTGTGAAAGGGTGCTGGGAGAGGGTCTTCCCATGGCCTTGGGGGTGGGGAGGGACTGGACTAGGTGCCATGAGCTGCTTTGGGGTTTAGCAGACTTGCCTCTGAGGTACCAGGAAAGGGTTCTTAGTATGCGACTTAGCACTTCATCCACACCAGACAGGTGGTGGTTATTGTATGCAAAGCACCTGCTTCCTGCCAGGGAGAGCCCATCTTTCCACGTGTGTTAAGCCCCATGAGGTAGCCGTCGTCACCTAAGTTCTTCTAACAAGCCAACGTCAAGGATTGGCAGGCACCACATCTTGGTGACTCTAAATCCTAGTATCAGCCATAAATGAGGGTTCAGCATGGAGCACGGTGAGGGGCCTCACACTGCATCAATCCGCCTTCTCTTCCAGCCGCGGAGCCCCAGAAGGCAGAGAACTGAAATGCGGCCTCCAGCATGAAGGTAGATGCTCGGTGCTCGGTTTCCCACTGCCTCACCACGGTCTTCAATGAGTCTGGGCAGGGGCATCATGCTGACTTCTTCATGGCACTCAATTTTTCTTATCAGTCTGTTCTTACGTGTCTCTCAGAGGTGGGGGAGGAACAGTGGACTGCTCAGTGACAGACATTGAGGTCTTTATCCAAACACAGCAAGCACAGGGAATCAGGGCTTCCAACAAGGCTTGCGGTCAGGCTTGTATGGTACTGTCCCAGCTACCACAAATACACACCACACACACACACACACATCATACACATACATACACACCATAAACACACACCACACACATACACACCACACACATACCACACACAAACCATACACATATACACCACACACATACAAATACACAACACATACACATCATGCACATAAATACACACACACACCATACACACAACACACACACACCACACCACACACACACCATACACATATATACCACATACACACCACACCACACACATACCATACACACACACATACCATACACACACACACACACCATACACAATACACACACATAGCACACACACACCATACACACACCACACACACACTATACACATATACACCACACACACACCACACCACACACACACCATACACAATACACACACATAGCACACACACACCATATATACACACACCACACAAACACACACATCATACACACCATACACTACACACACACACACACACACACACACACACACTGTACATACACACACCAAACATACCACACATATACCACCCACATCCACTCCCCCACCCCACGTTTGTTATAAAACTCTCCAGTACTACTGGACAGTAGTGAATATAATTTATGCCCCTCCCAGTCCCTGCACCTCCACTGTCCTCAACACTCAGGGCCCACCATGTTTTCACTTCCATTGCTCCCTGTAGGGTGTGCCAGAGAGTACATAGTGACTGAACAAAGTTTCCAGCCAGCAGGCCATATAGGAACCTTCTGGAGCCACCAGGACATGCAGAGCCAGCCCCACTTATAACGGGGAAGACTGCAGTCAGAGAAAGCCATTCAGATCGTGTCCTGGTTAGGGTTACTGTTGCTGCAATAACACAACATGCTCAAAAACAAATTGGGGAGGAAAAGGTTATTTGCCCTAAGCCTCCAATGTTGAAGGAAGTCAGGACAGGAACTCCAGCAGGAGTTCACACCACCATACACACCACACACACTATACACACACACTATACACACACCACCATACACACACTCCAGGAACCTGGAGGCAGGAGCTGATGCAGAGGCCCTAGAGGGGTGCTGCTTGCTCTTAATAGCTTGCTCAGCCTGCTATAAGAAAATAGAACACAGGACCACTAGTCTGGGGTGGCGTCACCCACAATGGGCTAGACCCTTCCCCATCAATCCCTGGTTAAGAAAATGCCTTACAGGTTTGCCTGATCTTACGGAGGCATTTTCCCAGTGGAGTCTCCCTCTTCTCGATAACTATAGCTTGTGTCAAGTTGACACAAAACTGCCCAGCACAGACAGAAAGTGACAAGATGGATTACTAGCCTGAATGCAGGCTGTGGCTAGGATCACCCAGAATACCTTCTCAACTGTGTCCTGGATGGCAGACTCTGGGATAAACAAGAAAGACAGTTTGTCCCCTTACTTCTTCAGATTCCACACGATAAGGTATAACAACCAAGTGTATAACTTTAGCTAAGTTGTAAGTTAAAGGAAACCAGGCGTAGAGGTCCAGACCCGTAAAGCCAGCCCGTGGGAGATAGAGGCTGGAAGATCACAAGTTCAAGATCAACCCTGGCTAACTGTGAGTTTGAGGTCATCCTGGCCTCATGGACCCTGTCTTAAAACCAAAGACAACAAAAAGCTGTCTGGGCCATGGCTAGTGCCTTTGCCATGACCTGTATAGTACTGTCATGTACCTGTATAGTGTTTTAATTCCTTTCAGTGCCTGCATCTCCACAGGACAACCCCAGGCAGCAGAGCAGGGCTCACTTCATCTTTGGGATGGGTATCTTTGAGACAAGTGACCTGTTATGCAGGGGTCAGTCAACAGCTCCAGTCTAGGAACACACACACACACACACACACACACACACACACACACTCCTCCATCTGCCTTCCCTGCTTCTCAGCCTTGTCTGCTCTTCACTGGCCTGGAGGTTTCAAGGGCATGCCATAGGTGGGATTTACAGGCAAAGGGACTACGCTGAGAAGATGGAGAGAGGACGAGATATGGGTACCAGAAGGGATCTGGGGTTATCATGTGAATTCTTTACCTCCACAGCCTCGAGAAGCCAAGGCCAGCTACCCGATACTTCAGAGGTTGATGTCGAGGCTTGAGAAAACAGACTACTTATACCAGACCTTTCCCCGGAGAAGCCAAGAACGAGTGTTCCCTTCGCCTCTCCCTGCCCCCACTAACCCCAGTCCTGTGTTAATGATGCAACACTCTCAGCCCTTCCTCTCACTGCAGCCGGGCTCTGGACCCTTTCTGTGCCGTGTCTGTGCTGTGTCTGTGTGTGTCTGCTGACTGTGCTCATTCGTGGATTTCATTGTTTCTGTGAACTGTGTACTTCCTCTCCCATGCTGCCGTCGGCACCCCGTGACCTCCATCTCCTCTTGCTCTCTGGAGTCTCCTCTGTCCCTGTGGAGGCCCAGTCCCATCTCTCTGGATTCAGGCTTGAGGGAGAGTTAGTTGTAACCAGGACAGGAGGCCCCAGTGGTCCTGGGGCTGAGAAAGTTCGTACCATCTTCATCGTTGTTCTTTGTGGACTCTCAGAAGAAACTTGCTCCAGATTCCACCAGTTTAGAAGGTCTGTTTGCAGCTGGAGATTCAGATTGCTTTCCTGCAGGCTCTGCCCTCCAGGGCTCCTTTTCCTTTTAGGGTGCCCACTGTAGAGTCCCAGTCTGCCCCACCCTTTACGGAACACCCAGGAATTCTTGCCTCTGGGGAATGAATTCCTCATTCACCTTCCGAGCAATAATCCCACAGGCTCTGGAGCCCTCCTGCCTTCATCCAACTTCCCTGCTTCTGAGACGTCAATTTCTAGCCCAGTTCATCTGACCCTCTAAGTCTAGAGGACCGCTTCCTTCCCCGAAGCTAGTCTCTGACAGGAGATAGGCAGCGGGAAGGGAGGAGGTGGCTCTGTCTTGTGTGGATCCGGCAGACTTTGCCGTTTCGTATTCCTGCCTGTCAGGGGTCAGAGTGGAGAGAGATGGAAGGGTACAGGGGCAGCGGGGCTTCGGGTCAGAGAACCACAGGGTATGCACAGCCTGGATGCAAATGCCGGAAGTCAAAGGTTACCAGAGTGGAAACTCACACCGGAGCCTGCCCCACCTGCCCATTGTGTTCCCTTGGAAACTAACCAAGCCACACTGTGTCCTGGGACTGCTGGTCTCTGTCTTGTGATCTATCCTCTGACAACAGAAAAATAAATAAATAAATACAGCATTGTTTCCTAGTGGCTCTGAGTGGCTTTTCTTCTGAGAGTCTGAGGGTTTGTAGGGCCCTGGGGAATGTGAAGGACCAGAGAACCCGTCCCCAGTCAGAGGGAGGAAGCCAGGACTGAAGGATGCTAGGGAGGTGCCAGGCAGGTTAGGCCTCTTTCACGAGGGGCTTCTAGAGCCCAGCTTTGAACCTCCCCCTCCCTTCTCCTTTCTCTCCTTTCTTTGCTCCCTTTTTTTTTTCAAACAGGTCCTTTTAAACAGTCCCAGGCTCTCCTCACAGAGTAGAAAAGAGGCATAGGAGGTTAGTTATGGTCACAGTAATGGAGACATTCCCATCGAGGTTGGTTTGTTCTTAAGTGCTGTTGGCCAAATAAACACAGCTGCAGGCAGGTTCCTTTTGAGAGTAGCAGCCCACCCCTGTGCACAGCCCTGTCACCAGCCTTCTGTGTGTTTTGGGTGAGACACAGCTCCTAGGGAGGGAGGAATAAGCCTTATTCTAACCCGAGAATGACCAGAATTTCTTAAGAGTCTCAATAGAACCTCAGTAGCCACTGTGAGGATTCTGAATTGCTTCCAGCCTCGGAGCTGAACCACGCAGGCCTGGGGGAGCAGGTGAACTCCATCCTCTTGCTAGCTATCCCAAGACCTGCTTGCTTTATTTCCCTCTTACCTCTATACTTGGTGTGTCTTACTTCTTGGGCTCTGAAAAAAATGGGAGCCTTAAGCAGGGAGCAAGTTTAGTATTATCAAGCCAGGGATGGCAGGGGTTAAAATATGCCTGGTCACATGGGGACTTGTTAATGAAGTGGATGAACTCTGTTCAAGGCACATTCATGCATCAGGGAGTTCATGCTTTGAAGATGACTGAGACATTGAGACGCCTTGGACACGCAAAGGATTGTGGGTACTGTGCCAGCCATTACTAAAACCAAAGCATTGAACTCTAAAGAAGTCCGACAAGATGTTCTGACCTTCCTCTGTCACACTAACACAGTGCCTAAGGCTTGGCAAGGTGTCTAGAAGCACCCACTTAGTTTGTCTGATAGCTTGACTTTATTCAGAGATCGCAGGATAGTCTTGTTTTACAGATTTTCTCTGATACTCCTCAAGGCTGGTCCAGGCCACAGCAGCTGCAGGGGAATTGGGGTGGATCCAGACAGTGTTTCCAGGGCTATGTGTTCACCACACAGCTGGTGTCTGGAAAGAGCTGTGTCAGGTAAAGGGTGGGGAAGGCACGGGACATCTCGTGGCTTCTGAAATCTCGTCTGCTCCATTCCCTTTTAGGACGTGACCTAGCTAGCATGCACCCGAGTCTGTGTGCTGAGGGAGCTCCTATGAGCAGCCAGTGGTGTGGAAACCAGACCCAGAGATGATGCCTGAGCATCAAACCATACAGAAAGACATCTACCAAGTTGTTGCCACACCCAGGGTGTGGGGATTCTCGTGAGCCCACTTCCCACACTCATATCAACACCGCAAGGTGACAAGGGTGGGCAGTGCCAGACGCTTGCTCAGCCTCTGATACCTGATGCTGCTTTTCTGGTTTGTTTAGTTTTTCTTTTTCCTTTGAGACAGGGTCTTAAATAGCCCATGCTGGCCTCAAACTCAAAACAAACAAGCATACAGCCAAGGATGACCTTAACTATCCTGACTCTGTCTCCTTAGTTGGGGTTACAGATGTGCACAACCACAACTGGTTTTAGGGGCGCTGGTGTTCATGCATGGTGTGTGAGCTCTTTGCTGACTGAGGTACAGCCCCAGTCCCTGCCGTTTGGCTTAATGTGGCAACTTTACTTGATTGGCTAGGAAAGCTACTGTACTATAAAGGGACAGTGAGTTGCTTGTTCTCAGTGACCTTGAGGGTTCTTCATTTTTGACCACCGGAAGACCTCCAAAGATGTTCAAACCTTCCTGAAAGCCGCTGCTGCTCATTCTTAATGTCACTAACCTGTCTCCGAATCCCCAGATGCCGCGAGCCTCAGCCTCTCGGGTGTTCTGTTTGTTCATATTTTTCCTTACAGGTTGTAGAGCAGAACTGGCCAGGCTGTTCTTGGAAGAGGTACAGAGGCAGAGAGCAAAACTGAACTATAGCAGAAGTAGGAAGAGGATGCCAGGCTGAAGCACATCCCAAGGTCAAGGGGCTCTGCCCCCGCCCCACCCCACTCTGGAGGCAGGGTTCTGCCTTCCTAAGGCTGGAGGGCTGGCAGGTGAGGAGAATTCTCCAGCTCAGTCTGGTTCTCACCTTGTCCCTGGCTGCTCTACACCCCCTCCCCCAGAGCCCCGGGGAGAGCAAGAAAGGTCAGGTGTGTTTGCCCAAGCCAGGGGGAGGAGCTTTGAAAATACCTGTCTTCAGGCCATAAAGAGGAGGGAAATGGCCATCTATTGCCATTTGTGTGATTTCATTGCTGTCACCCCTAAGCTCCTGCCTAGCAGAATCAACCAGTTTAGGCCAACCACCTGCTGATTTTCTGGAGCCAGCCCCAGTTCCACAGCCTTGAGCAACAAGAGATCTCCTGCCAAGAGGTGACGCTGTCTTTAATGTCCTGAAGGATACTGGACAGAATGAGTGGATCTTTCTGAAACAGCCCCTGCCTCAGAGCCTGGACCCTTCTCTCCAACTGTGTGAGCGTCAGCTCCTACTTCTCGTCACTTTTCTTCTTTCACTATAAAGTCCTTGGGGTGGGTTAGGCCTCCTGCTAACTTTGGGACTCTGAGAAAGCCACCAAAGCCGGAGTATCCTCTACTATACATGATGCTATCCAGTGTGTATATCCTATATTATACACTATATATACCATTTAAGTAATATACTATTACTTCCCTGAGTTATAGTGATATAACAGGCATAAGAACACACTGACATTTCTACAGGAAGACATCATGTCATTGGTACTAGCATCACTGGTCATTCAGGAACTACCACCTCATTGATAGCAAGACCCCTTAGACCTAGACTCCAGTCCTGACTTAGACACATGTTGCCCACAGTCCCCACTCTGTGAAATAGGGATACCACAGCCTGCTTGCCTGTGATGTGAGGAACAGCAAAGCAGGTCCCTGGAACTCTCCAGCACCATGAAACCGGTAGAGTCGTTGCCAGGTGGGGAGAGCCAGACCCAAGCCTCAGTGAGTGAATGTGGTGATGTGTGTGTGGAAAAAGTGTGGTTTGTTCCCTGAGGTTCTCCAAAGGCAGGGGCCACGAGGAGCCACTAGAAACACCTCAGCTCCAGGTCAAGGCCAGGAGTGAGTTCTGAGAAAATCAAGAAGGCATTTCTCTCCAGGGTGTTCTCTGTGTAGGAGGCTGGACTAATGGCCTTGTCCTTGCCATAACATGGTGACCTTGACTCTCAGAGGACATTGCCCTTTGGCAACTCTCAGGAACCCTGTGCCCCACTGCTTGGGCCATCTTGAAGCCAGCACTGAAGGACTGGATCCTATGGGGCCCACCTCCTCCAAGCTCTTGCCTTATAAGACCCCAGTGGCCTGGCACTTGTGGTCACAGCAGGAGACAGGGCCAGCATTCCTCAGGGTTTGGGACCTCTAGCTGACACAGATGGAGATTACAAGGAGCAGCCACATCCCTGCTCAGCATCCCTGGGGACCATATCTTGGAGAATGGGCCTGAGCTCGAAGTCAGAGCTTTCTTGGGGCTTTAGGTTTTTTGCTCCTTTGAGGTTCCTTCGAGGTACGAATCACCGTGAAGGCAATGATGCTAGGCCTGAAGTTCGATGCTCTGGATTCTGTCTGGAAACCTCACAGAGACCCGGGCTGCTGGGCTGGAAAGTCCTGTTGAGGGAAGGCTGGTGGTGAGGACTTCTACTCCAGTGCTTCCTGTGGGAATCAGGGGAACATGGATCAGCTGTCTCAGCCTGTGACCTCACTACCCACCAGTGCAATGGGGACTGTCTACATGTCTGCCCTGAGTCTTAAGACAAACCTGCTGAAGGACGTGGGAGAATGAGGCTCAGCGGCTGAGGTCCCTGTCCCTGTGGGTATGACCAGGTGGGAAGGGGGATCCCTCCCCCTAAGCTCCCAAAGACTGCTTTGGTCTCTGGGTCTTAGAGGACACAGCTAGATACCCCTCTGGGGCTCTACTCTGGAGAAACGCAACTGAGAAGGAAAACCAGAGACTCTTGGCCTGTCCCATTGTTTTTGAAAATCGGGAGGGTAGTATTTTCATGGCCACTGGGCCCTGGTACTACAGGGAAGATTCCAAGAAGTAGGATGGAGGCTGAGAAACTGATGGGGAGAGCATGCTGATTGGCATTTCTCCTAGGGATGAATGGACGCTTGGGGCCAGTGGTGGTGATGTCTGGTGGGGATCCAGCTGGAGCACTGGGACAGGAGGCAACTGTCAGGGACCCTTCAGTAGAAGTCAAGGGGACTCCTGAGCTATGTAAAGGGATGTGGTGAGCAAATTTATCTCCTGGGGGAGCCAGCCTAGCTTAAAGTAGAGAGTACTACTACCATTGTTAGAACCTTCTTTGGGCAAGCACTTCTTCTAATGACCTCCTCCCGCCTCAAGCCTCTGAGGTAGGTGTCACTATGCACTGTAGATGGCAGGATACAGAGAAGCATCCTTCTCTGGGCTCACTGGGTCAGAGGGTCAGGGTCAGTTTACAGAAGGATTTCTACTGGAGTGGTCTGGCCTTAAGGGGCTGTGCACACAGACATGGGAGGAGACACTTCTTCGGTTGCTCTCAGGAAAGTAGGAGACAGAGTTCCTTTTCAGAGCAGTCGGATGTCTCAGAGAGGACTCCTTGTCCTCAGCATTGGTTAAAATCTGCTGATGGTCTTGACTGGCTGGGATATGGCATGGAAGTTGTCTGAGGATGAACCTAGTGTAAGGTGAGCCAGGCAAGGCCTCAGCAACATTCAGCTTTCAGGGCTGAGAATCAGGTATGTGGGTATGGGAACAAGTGTGTGCCTGGGTGTGTGGGGGGGGTGTGTGTGTGCATGGATGTGACTCTGTGGGGTGTTAGGGGAGTCTGAAGGCAAGGGTACTAAGTGCTTACTGCCTCTCGAGAGCATTCTCCGACCTGCCGCATGCAGATTGGAGATAAGGTGGCCTTAGGCAAGCTCAGGGGCTGAGTCACTGGGAGATTCCTGACACTTCCGTGGGCTGGGGTAGTGTGAACATTTAGAAAGGGTACCTGGGGTGGGGTGTGTCTCTAAGTGAAGCCTAAGGACAGAGGAAGCATTCAGGAGGCTGGGTACTCCAAACCCATCTTTGCTAAGATCCTGAGACAGGAGTGAGCCCTGGAAGGTCAGAGAGCCACTAAGGGGACAATATGGTTGGAACGGACACAAAAGTTGGGGACAGGGTTGGAGAGGATGAGATTAAGGAGCACAGAAAAGAAAGCCAGCAAGAGGGTAAGTAAAGGCACTTGCCACAAAGCCTGACAGTGTGAGTTCGATCTCTGGGTCCTATGAATTGTCTTCTGGCCTCTGGGCATGCGCATGGCCCATGCAGGCTCTCATACACACAATGAATAAGTAAATAAACAAACATAATAAGAAGTTTTACAAAGGGACTGGAGCTTAGAGTCAGTATTCAGAGGATCTTGGGCAGGAAAGCGAATGGTTTTACTATTGATGGGCTGGGTGGGGGTGCAGGGTGTCTATTGGGAAACGGGATGCCTCCTTTCAGGGTCCTAGAGTTGGGAAGGAGGAATTTGTAGTGGGCTCCTGCCGAGATGGGAATCCTGCTGAGAATTACAGAGACCATTACTGCCTGAACTTCCCCAGTGCCTGGCTTGGGGAATTTCCACTCAGGGCTCCAGGCTACTTGAAGATTAGGATTTCCACTTGGGAACACGTGACAGGGTCACTGGGTGGAGTTGCCCTTCACCTCACAAGTGGCTGGACTGGAGGGCGGGGCATTGCCAGCTCAGAGCCCTAAGACAGACCTCAGCCTAAACAGAGAACCCAGCTAAGAGGTCAGGCCATTTCTGAGTGCCTCCATCTCCCTGGAGCTGTCATTAGTCCCCCGCTTAGGGTGCTGTTGTGAGGGACAAAGAGGCTAGTTGTCAGGGTGACCAGACCCAGCATTACCATGCTCTGCCGGTATCCCTGTGTTATGGCCACACCAGGATGATCTTGAGAGCCTAGATGAGGCCCTGTAGTCCAGTCTTAGTCAGCCAACAGACACTTCTTATAGTAGCCTGGGCCTGTCATGGCGTCCAGGGCACAAAGACTCTGGGAGGCACTGAGTGACTGTCCTCTTAGTCCTCAGTTGTCTCCTTGTGCCATCCTGGCTTGGGGACCAGAAGATATTCTGCCTTTCGTCTGCTCCCCTGACAGAAAGCTCAGCCCTTCTCAGAGGACCTCATTATGTGCCGGAACTCTTGCTGGGAATCGTAGGTGCATCCAGGCAGGTGTGACATCATAAATGACATATGCCCCTAGGTTTAGGTGGGGAGGAAGGACAGGCCACCAAGGGAGCATCCTCAAACCAGCCATGGCTCAAGCCACTGTCCATCTCTGGCCAGCTAGCAGGATGGTTCAGGAGGTTAGTCAGCTGCCTCAGGTCCAAGACCAGCTGAGACTAAGTCCCCACTGCATCTGGAGCAGTTTCATGCCTGGTCTCAGGGGCTCTCTTGACTACAGAATGGGTCCAGGGGCAAGAGATATCAGGGTGGGGCCCACTGGGTGGGGGGAATGAAGAATCCCTTGAGTGAAGGCTGGGGACCCACACCTGCCTCTCAGTGTCTCCTCCAGCTGCCATCCAGAAGTGGCAGTGGGGAGGGGGTGGCTCTGGTCCTGCCAGCTTGTACACTGTCCAGTGCCCTTCTGGAAACCCTCTTAAAGAACACAGTGCAGTCCAGTAGCTGCAACAGCAAGGTCCCTGTGGAGAAAGGAGAGGATGTTACAGTTTACTTTGCCGTCCAGAGTGTCCCTTCCGTCAGTGCCTGTGGAGGTCAGAGACTCTTCCCCTACCCTCACGTGGGTCCCTTGCTCCAACCAGCCCAGGCAGGCAGGTACAGGGTAAGAGTTCCCTCACCAGCCCCTCCTCCTGCCTCATTCTTCCTGTCCCAGCTCAGATCATCCAGTGAGAAGGGAGGAAGTGTCATTGTTCCCATCTAGGCCCCGGGCAAGGGCAGGCGCTCCCTGGCTCCTGTGTACCTCAAACACCTCCAGCAGCTCCTGCCATGGACAGGTGGTACCTGGGTGAGTCTCCCGAGCCTGACCATCCCTGCCCCATCCAACTTGGATTCAGGGGACCACCCATCACTTTCAAATATCCCTACTGACTCCTACAATTGCGGGAGAAACAGAAATGGGAGAGACAGGCTGTCCCAATAAGGACACCTCAGTACTGAGTCCTGGGCTTGCTGGGATGCACAGGGCACCTCTGAACAAGCAAGAGGCTGGGGAAATCTACCCTTTCTCAGCCTCCTCATCCAGCCGGGTGCCCGTGCATCAGGGTCACATCTCAGTTCCCTTACTTTCTAGCTGCCTGCCCTCCGGCAGGTTATGCCGCTTGTCTGCGCCTCAGAGGAGACAGGGTGATGCTACTCCTGCTCTTTCCTACTGAACCATGGGGCGACGGAGTGCCTAGAACAGAAAACCAGTTGTCAACCTGCTTTTCCCATGGCTTTGCCTACCTGCCTACCTACCTGCCTGCCAATCAATGCATCCATCCATCCATCCATCCATCCATCCATCCATCCATCCATCCTTTTGTCTGTCTGTCTGTCTATCTGTCTGTCTGCCTGTCTGTCTGCCTGCCTGCCTGCCATATAGCTTTCTAACTTACTGCCTATTTTCCTCTCTTGTTCTAGAAAGAACTCATAGGGGGCTTACAAAGCTAGTCACCAAGGCAACATGACAAGGGGTGGGGGTACTGTTGACTTCTGTGAAGCATGGCAACAGATTGGGCAGCCATCATGGGACCTGGACCTTCCAGCTCTGTCCTTTCCTTTCTGTGTTTCAGGCTTCATCTTCCCTTGCTTTCAGTTCTTTGGGTTTCCAGTGGGCTATGGCTAAGCCCTTCTAGGTATGGTTGGGGGTAGCCAATGTCCAGCCTTAGTCTCTTCATCTGTCAAATGGAACTACTGGAGATTTAATGGGGACCGTGAGTGCTGAGAGCCTGGAGTGTGGGTCCAGACTCTCACAGGGCAGGGCTGCTGTCTGTTTGTGTGGATGTGTCTTGCTGGGCTCTGGAAGCTCGGGAGAGCTTCGTGAGTGCTCTTAAGCTGCACAGCCAGGGCTGGTCTCTCCTCTTACCACTCAGCAGGGAGTGGCTGGCTTTCCTATGGTACCAACAAACAAAAGGCTAATGCCTGTCATTTTTCAAGCAATGCAGAAACAGTGGTACCAGCTGTCCTAGGCCATATTCTGAAATGCCTATCTCAGTCCCCACGACTTCCCAGAGTCCTGTGCCCTGCCCACTGTATAGATGAAGAAGACAGACATGAAGGGTAAACAGATTGGTGATGGAGAGGTAAGCAAATGGCAAAGATCAAATTTCTAGGCAAGTGGGGAGTGCCAGTGTCCTGGAATTGGTTGAGGGGCACTCACAGATGGAGCCCTTCCCCTCAAAAGGACTGACTGTACCAGGGGAGCAGATATCTTCTATCTATCTATCTATCTATCTATCTATCTATCTATCTATCTATCTATGACCTATACATTCATAAATCTATTATAGATATAGCTATCCTCTATGTAGCTTGTATGTATGCATTCACATATGTTTACATGTATGCCTGTTTATATGTGTGTATATATATATGTATCTATCTATCTATCTATCTATCATCTATATATCTGCTATTTATGTATCTATCACCTGTGTCATCTGTTTATTATCATCTGCTAATGTTGGACATTAGCTTCTTGGAGGCCAAGTCTACCATCTGGAACCCAAAGAAGACTGTGTTACTTACAGATCCCATACCATAGTTACCAAGGGGACAGTTACAGTAGAGTGGGGGACACCCTGGGAGGTATGGCCAAAGCATTTGAGCCCTGAATCTGAAAGGGCAGCCATCAATCTTGTCCTCAACTCTCACTGGATGTGTGACCTTGGCTCCTAGCTTCTCTGTCCCTCAGAAAGCTTGTGTCAAGTGAGGAACTAAAGCAAAAGGGAGACAACAGCTAGAAAATGCTTTGTAAGCCATAAGAACAAGCCTGAGCCCCTTCCTGAAAGAGTCGTAAGTGTATGGTGTCAGCCACCAGAGGGAATGTTTGGGCATCAGGGTAGTACATTAGCCGGAGATGATGGAGTGTTTCAGACTGAGGCGTGAGTGGCTAACTGTGGCCTCAGGACCAGGATAAGTAAAACAAGTCAGGACAGGCTGTCAGAGACAAGAGTGCCATGGAGGCTGACCCTGCTGTGGACCCAAGGTTCACAAGACTCTGGTAAGAGGGGAGGCAGGCCAGGCTCCTTAGGAACACCTCAGGGAGGCATGACTGCCCCATGAGAATATAAGCTGTCACAGTGCTATCCACAGAGGCTTGCAGGAAACTCTGAAGGTTAAGGGACTTGGAAGTCACCAACCCGACCTAGTACCCCTATATATACTTCCCGTGTGCCATTCAGAATGAATGCATCTTGAAATTTTCACTTCCTCATCCCACTGCCCAGCTGCGGCTTCCCCAGCTGATGGAAGAATACTGTTGCTGCCCATCCTGGCCCTGCTCTCTGGAAATTTCCTCTGGGAGGGGCTGAAGACCTCAGCCAGCTCCTCCCTGCTTCTGGCTCCCCCCACACCTCCCCTTGCCTGGCTCAGCAAGAGCCCCTCTGGGGACACTCAGCCTTTCTTGTGACTAGGGTAAAATATTACCTGACACTGTTAATATTTAATGCCCCCCACCTCTGCCCTGGCTGCCCCACGGCAGACACTGTCCTCGTAGTCCCGTAGTAGAGGCCACAGGAAGACCTTGGAGAAGCCCCGATGGCTGGGGAAATGACAGAGCTGTCAGCTGACAATGGTGAGACTGGCAGGACTCTGCCTGGGACTGGCTCTGGTGGGCAACTGAAACTCCTTTCCCTTTCCTGTTCCTTGGGGTTTCCAGCTAGTGACTCTCCAAAAAAAAATATTAGCATTCAGAAGGGACCCCAAACTCCATCCCCACAGAAAAAGAGCAGAATAGCAGAAGTTGGGGCATCGGAAGTGTGTGTGTGTGCGTGTGCGTGTGTGTGTGCGTGTATGTGTGTACACTTGACTTTGTTCTGAAGATAGGGTCTTCTTCTGTAGCCCATGTTGGCCTGGTATTCATATAGCCCAGAATAACCTAAAATTCTCTGCATTCTTCCTGCCTCAGCCTTCCACACCCTGCCCAGTGTGACTGTCTCGTCTTGGATGGAGAACTAAGAATACAAAGTGGTCAGGGGCTGCCAGAGTTGGGGGAGGGAGGAGCAGCCCTTCTGGCCAGCCCTTCCCAGCAGGCTTAGCACCACAAGAAAAGCCCAGAGTTTTGGGATCCACAGACTGGGGCCTGAAGTCCAAGAGGACCCCTGCTGGTCCATATATCTTGAGTTTTCTGACCTAGAGTGCTGGTGGGGAAGGGGCTCATCAAATGGTTTCTTAAAGAGAAGGTGGGGGGGGTCATGTCTTGGATCTGGCTGAGACTGACACTAGCTCCCCATGTGACCTTGAATATGACAGAAGCTTGGGAAGACTTTCTGCATGGATGCAGAGCCTGGGTCCCTGTGGCTTCTCCTTAGATTTTGGCCTTCCTGAACAACCCATACCTGAGGCTCACCAGGCACTGACCCTCTGTGGCTCCTGGAGGCAGCGGGACTCACCAGATCCTATGGCTGGCTGATCACTACAGGGGCACAGTTCAAAGTCGCCTGGGAATTGTTAACTTGCTCATTGCTTTAGAAAAGGCCTCAGACAAGAGGGTCTCCAGCAGGGCCGCAAAGAGTGCAGCTGGCACGGAGCCGGCCGGGTGGGGTGGGGTGACTGCAGCTTTGCTGACCAGCTATCCAAGGGTAAGTGCTCTGAGCTCAGGCCGGCAGAGAGCAGAATATCTGCTCCCTTCAGGATGAAGGGAGCCGGCCACAGGAGGCAGGGTCAGGGTCGTGCATCTTGGTCTGGAAAAGTCTTCTTCCTCTATGTCACCTGAGAGGGAGACTAGCACTTAGACTTAAAGTGATACCTTGCCTGGGTTCGAATCCCAGCTCTACCCCTTACTTGCTGTGTGGCTGTGGGGTGACTTAACTTACCCTCTCTGTGCCCCAGTCTCTTGTGGATGAAGGGAAATAACAACCATGCCTCACAGGTTGTATACAAGCTGATGCTCAGATCATTTTGGCCCAGAATGCACAGACACTGAGTGCTCCTCCCTCTTGTTAAGTTTGCCCGGAGGATGGTGGCATACCAGAGTAGAATCTAGGCTGAGTCAAGCTCGGATTCTGCCTTCCACTTCCACTGTGTTCTTATGAAGACTCGAGCGGGCCTTTGATTCCTTCTCCTGTCTGCTTTGCTCATTGATTTATTTCACAGATACTGCTTTTCCTCGAGGAAGTGGGATCAGTAGAGGCCACTGAGGGGCCTCCTGGGACTTGGCTTTTTGGCCTCTCCCTGTGATACAGAGCTGGGAGCTGGGGAGGACCACACCCTCCTGAGACTATGAGGTCCCCTCAGACAGTGCAGGCCTCTCCTTCAGATGCCCTGCGTCTGATCCCAGGATACCCATGCGATGTAACCTTAGGGCGTCCCCACAGGTCACCTCTTCCCCGGGCCACTCTTACCCAGCCCTCCCTTGCCCATCTGGACCCCTGGGGGCATCATGAGAAGTCGGCAGTTCCCATTACTCTGGGGTTGTGATTTCTTGCTCATCCCACCCCTGGCTCTCTTCTCAGGTGGCAGTGCCAAGGGGACAGAGAACCCTTTCGAGTATGGTAAGCCAGTGCCCCCCACCCTCCCCCACCTACTCCATCAATTGGTTTCCAGCCCTGGGTCCCCGCTATCTGCCCTTAACACCATGAGGCTGCTGGTGGGTGGGCTCTGGGAGGTCTGTGAGGGGTCATGCCTGTACCACTGCGCATGTCTCCTCTCTCCCAAGACTATGAAACCGTCCGCAAAGGAGGCCTGATCTTCGCGGGCCTGGCCTTCGTCGTGGGGCTCCTCATCCTCCTCAGTAAGTGGACACAGGTGAAGCACTTCCCAAAGTCATACAGTAAGGACACTTGCCAGGTCCCCACCCACACCCCAGCCTGGGGAGGAATTCAGGAGGAGCACAGAGGACAGCGGGCTACCGCTTCCTTCAGTGTGCCCTCTGGTGGCCTTGGGAGGGAAGCTGAGAGGGGAGTCTGGTTGAGCAACTGTGGGGCGGAGGCGGCCAGGGGAGCAGGCACTGCCCCTTCTGGACACCGCGTCCTAAGCCACCCTATCCCTTGTGAAGTGTCAGCATACTGAAGGACACCACCTCCCGCTCCCCGCCCCCCACTGCCAGCGTTTGAGATGGACAGTGAGACTCCCAGGGAGAGACTTGAGGCAGCTCCCTCAGCGTAGCCGGCATCCACGCCTCCACATATTGCTGCAAACTAGCAGAGATAGGAGCCTTGCCCTGGGGCCTATCGCTGACTTATCCTAACTCCGGAGACGGGGAGACTCTACTTTCTCTCTGTTAAATGGGGACAATCCCCCCAGTCTATAAAATTGGGGTTAGCATCCTAGGATAGCCACAGGGGTGAAGGGGTACTTTAGGAAGGTTCTGAGGTATCCATGAAGAGTTCTGAGGGGGTTAGTTGGGGGGCAGGAATGGCCTTACCTAGCCTTGAGCCCTGGTAGACACAACAGCAGATGCTTAATTGATGCTTGTTGCCTTGTTTTGTTGAAATCAAAAGAAAATACCAGAATCGCAATCAGAAGGACACTTGGTGAGGCAAAGAGGTTTCTGTATTCTGGAATTCCCACAATCTCTGGCTCCTGCCACTCTACTTGAAAGCTGGGCTCTTGGGAGATCTGCTCTGTGTGTGTGTGTGTGTGTGTGTGTGTGTGTGTGTGGTTTGAACTTTAGATGTGGCCTGTCCTCCTCCGCGTGAGAACCAAGCAGCTGCCCTGTTGTGTTGTGGCATTATGAATTCTGGTCCCAGTGGCCACTTTCCACATGTCCTCAGTCCAACACAGATCTGGTGCAGTGACTATTTGTTGGTTGACTAACTGCTTGGTGGTCCAGCCTTATCTAAACAGAGAAAACATGGATCCCAAGCCTTATGCTGTGACGATGCTCGGGGAGGGAAGCGAGCCTGCAGAACTGGCTCTTCCAGGGTCTCCTTGGGGGCAAACAAAAACCGGCAACAAACTTTACTGTCTCTTTTCAAGGCAAAAGATTCCGCTGTGGGGGCAGTAAGAGGCATAGGTGAGTGCTGTCAGGGAACTGACAAGGTGGGTGGGGCAGAGAGGAAGGCGGGATGTTTTCCCCAATGGGGAGGAGGGGGTCCTCCATCTGGGGGAGCATGGACACACCCTCCCTCTTTATGGACACATCCTCTTTATCCTTCCTCACCCCAGGCCGGTCAATGAAGATGAACTGTGACAGAGGTATGTGTCCTTCAAGGGGCACGAAGGCTTGGGTAGAGTATGCTCTCACGACTAAGAGAAAAAAGGCTCAGAGAAATTTGGGGGTTCAGATGGACTGTTCCCACTGATGTTTTAAAGCGAGCACTAGGTCTCTAAAGTGGGGTGTGTGAAGTAGGCACACTGTGTTGTGTGTGGGGGGGTCCTTGCGAATAATAAGAGGGACAGGAACAGAACTACGAGCAGCAGAAGCCTCCCTCCCAACTCAAACCCAGCCTTTGTCTTTGCAGAGCTGGCAGTGCCCACCTGTGCACGGACACCAGTGATGCCCGTCTTCCCCAGCTGCACATCATGGACCCCACCACAGTCAGCACTGGGTGAAGGACGTGCCAGGCGTACTTGGTCCCCCTTCATGGTCATCCCCTCATGCCTCTAAGATCCTTAACTTCCCCTCCCCCTACCCAACTTCTCTAACACCCCACTTCCTGTTCCAAGTTGGGGTACATGTGCAGCCTCGTCTCCCTGGTTTTCAATGAATTGCTCTACAAGTATCTGCTGAAGAATTCGGGCTCACTGTGGTCGTCTATGGGAGTGTATCATTCACCCCTGAAAACAGTTCCCTGGGGGCAGAGACCTCTGCCTGACTTCTGGCTGCCCTGCTAAAGTCTGAAGGTGCTGAGATGAAAGTGATTAGGAAGGTGGGGTCCTGTTGGCTGATGCCACTGAAACCTCGGAGCTCCCACAGGGGAACTTGCTTCTCAGGTGCTCTGGCCAACCAGGTGGTAGCTGACTGTGGCCACATTTGTGGGCTCTATGGTTTCCCTAGGTACACTACTGTCTGGGGCAGGTGGTTTGAAAGGCGTCTATTGGGCCTCAGCTCATGCTTCCAGCCCATCCTTGGGTCGGTGGGGTCCAGGGAACTCCAGTTGGACCCACCCCTGCCCGTGGATTTGGATGATGGCTTGCTTTGTCCCTGGGTCAGGAGTGAAGGTGAGAGCGAGTTCTCCGTGACTGCTTGCTTCAGCACCATCCATCTGGACAGAGACCCACAGAGGTCCAACTCCCTCTCCTTTCATTCCCACAGAATCTCCAAGGAGACTAGAGGGCTGGCAGGATGCTGGCACCATCTGGTGACTGGTTTCCTTATCTACATCTCTGAGCATCTAAGCAGAGCCCTGTTCTGAAACTGTGTTAGGGTGAACTATTCAGTCAGGCTGGACAGGTCATTTCACTTGGTCCTTAAGCCTTCTGTCCTAACCCATGGCCCCAGGCTCTGAAGGCCACCCACCCATAGGTACAGCAGACACTCCTTTGAGAGACCGTTTCCGTTGTGTCCAAGGGGATGCCGATCCCTCCCCCACCCCACCCGCCCCCGAGAGCTAGTGGCTTGTGTAGACAGGGTGACACCCTGCCTGCCTTTTGCCGTGAGAACTAGGAGAGGAGACTGGGGTGGGAGGGCAGGCGTCAGCTGAGGCCTGTAGGCACATGGGTAAAGTCTGGGTACTAGGCTCAGTATCACACCACTGACAAAATGTGACCTCACACCCTTAAGCAGAACTCAGAACTGCTATTTTGCGCTCCCTCTAGAGGATGGGAGGAATGAGCTGAGGTGTAGCCGATCTGGCCAGGGTTAGGACACAGGGGGGAGGCAAACTCTTCAGGGTTTCCAGATGCCTGAGCGAGGCAAATGGGAAGAGGTATTATTCAAGGTCTGTGGTTCACTAGAGAGAAGTGGGAGCCCTGGGAAGGAGTGACGTTTCCAGAATGTTCTGTACACCAGCCCATCACTTAAATGGTCTCCTCCTTCTGTCTGCCACCATGTCTCCTGCTCTGTTCTCTAAGTGACCAGACTGGTTTTTGCCTGACGTGGGCCTAACCATATGTCACCTTTGAGCAGGGAGAGCTAGATACAAGCATGAGATTACTGGCGAGCCTTCCTCCTATCCCCATGCCCTCTGCCACCCTTACCCTGGCGAGCCCGGGGCTGAGGCTCATTGCCCAGCGGACATTCTGATTCTGTGACCTGCTCTTGGGCCAGGACATCTCCCTTCACTACCCAGGAAGTTCTCATGCTGAGAATTACTAAACCTGCCTGTAACTCTGAGGCTTTCTACACATCCGAGCTGTCCTAAGTTTCAGAATACAAACCAAGTCTTGGAAGTGTTGCTTCCTTATGCGGAGCTGTATGAGGCCTAGGTGTCTTAGGGTGCAGTTCCTCTCCTACCACCAGAGGGAGCCCATGGCTTACGCAAAGTCCCCTGAAATTACAACTGATTTCCTGGACCGCTGCGTTTCACGAAGCTTTAGACCCCACAGCTCAGAGTTATCATCACGATCTTATCCCCAATATCCAGATTCTCCCTTCCAAACTCACAATTACCCAAGTATGGAGCACCCAGAGTAAGGGCAATGAGCCCATCTTGGGATGAGTGGTCTGGGTGGGGCTCTTTCTTGTCTGGACTTGACTTTCCTTTTAGAAGCTGGGACCAAGGCTGGCTCACCTGGAGTGTGAGGATTCCTTGCGCAGGCCTCCAGCTTTTTTAAAAAAGCTTTGGCACTTTAGGGGATCACTCCCACCTCACCTCAGCAGTTACTGGTTCAGTAAGAAAGTAGGTGCCCCAAAAGACTCTCTTTGAGTAGCTCTGCTGGCCCTACCCACAGAAAAACGAAGGTCCTCTTGGATAGAGGTGGATCCTAGGGTTGAGGGAGGACTGAGCTCCCCCTCCCCAGAACCTTGCTCAGGGATCCAGAACCCCTGCTGGGGAGGTGAATCACCGCTCTGCAGACGTGCACCCCAGGTGGCCAAACTCGGAACTGCAGATGGATGGTACTCGAGACTTGACACCCCACCTTGTGAATCCCGTCATCACTCAGCTCTGCCATCCCAGTCAGGAAGACATCAGCTTGGGCCCCAGAGTCAGCGACTTAGCTTTCTCAGTCAAGTGTGTTAGGAGAGCAACACTGAGACATGGGCGGCAAGGGAGAAGATTCTGGGGACTCGGGTCCCCTCAGTCTCAGGATACACGAGGAACTGGGAATACTTTGTGTTCTTGCAATTGGAGAGCTGAGGGGCTGCGAAGAACTTCTTAGAATTTGGAACCTTAGGTCCCAGACTCTCATTAAGACACTGGAGGGACAAGGGGGACGGCAGCAGGACACATAGGTTGTGTGTGTGTGTTGGGGGGGGTCCCAAGTTGTCACGGGCCTCACATCTGGGAGGGTCAGGGACCAGAACCATTCCTCAAGCCCTATTTGGCAGATTTGTTTCTCCAAGCCTGCTGGACTTCCCAGTGTGTCCCATAATTCCATAGTGCTGTTGCCTGTCTTTACATCTTTAAACCTAGTTCTCTGTTTTGAGAACTTCTCTCTGTGGCTTCCTAGAAGAATGTCTTGGTGTTACAGAGAGGAATGCCCAGGTGAGCCAGGAGGGAGATGGAGGAGGGTGGGAAGTCCCCAGCCAGGCAGCAGCTGGTGGCTCAGAACAACTGAAACTGGCCTTTCAACCAGTTTTGTCCCCAAGCCTGCTGTGTGATCTTGGAAATGTCCTTTTCTGTCTCCAGACTTGGCTTTTGGGGAAACAAAACAGGAGACAAAAATTCTGATGTCCAGTCTAAAAGTCCAAGGGCGGTGGCCCTGAAGGGAAAGTTGGAGCTGGAGCAAATTCTCTCCCTAGAGAATTGTTCTTAATGCATAACTAGATCCACACAGCCACATGGGCGCGGCAGCTTGGGAAGTGAAAAAGTCTGCCACAAGACACCTGGAGAAGCAGAAGGAGCTAGTATGGCCCTCTCCGGGAGTGTGGTGAATTCTGTTTGTTCCCCCAGAAAGTCCTGTTCCCCCAGAAAGTCCTGTCAATCTGTAACCGAGTCTGCGCTCACACAGAGACTCCCAGAACTCAGCGTCTCTGCTCTGCAGTAAATACCGTTTCAGGTCTCCTGTCTGCAAACCCAACATTCACTATCAGGTTAATAAAGTTACTCAGATTCAGGAAAGGCCTGAGCCCTCAGACTCAGGGGACATGAGCAGGAATAGGGGGATCCAGAACGGACCCCAGTTGTTCTGGGATCCTTCCTGCTACCCGGACATACCTTCTTAGACCAGAACATTTCTTCACTCTGGGCCCCAGCAGATTAGCTATTCCAGGGTGCAAATAATGCCTCTAAATTCATGCACGCCCCCTAGTGGCCGTCCCAGATGCAGCAGAGGATGTACTCAGTTGAGTGACCACACTGGCTGCTTAGAGGAAGATGGTTCGAAGAGACCCACCACTATATAGGGGTGAGGAGGGTGGTGCAGGCATGGGGTCTGGGGCAGAGTCGGTGGTGTGTAGGTTCACTGAGGTGGGGCAGCTCTGAGATCTTTTCCAGTATCAGCCTTCAGTTCATCCTCTGAGTCTTGGTGTACTGGGTGGTTTTGTGTCAACTTGACACAAGTTAGAGTCATCAGAGAGAAAGGAGTCTTAATAGCAAATGTCTTCAGGAGAGTTCTGTCCTGGACTCTCTTCTCAGGACATCATGATGTCCAGAGATGGCAAAGAGGCAGTGCCCTGTGAGCCCACCTTCAAGACAGCCAGGTCCCAGGGTTAGACTGGAACACCCATTAGCCCTCTCAGTGCCCTGTGAGCTAAGGTACAGGGACAATTGGCTACCTGTGAGATGTCTTCACTCCATGGGCCCTGCCCCCTCAGCTGGGGCTCTCTCAGTTTCTTCCCTTGAGGAAGAGGGAGGTGGTCTGTGGCCCTACTAGGCTGTCTTAGTTAGGTGCTGTGAACAGACACCATGACCAAGGCAACTCTCATAAGGACAACATTTAATTGAAGATGACTTACAGGTTCAGAGGTTCAGTCCATTATCATCAAAGCAGGAACATGGCAGCATCCAGGCAGTCAAGGGGCAGGAGGAACTGAGAGTTCTACATCTTCATCTGAAGGCTGCTAGGAGAAGACTGACTCCCATGTGGTAAGGCGGAGGGTCTCATTGCCGGCCCTCAAAGTGACACATTTCCTCCAATAAGGCCACACCCACTCCAACAAGGACACACCCATTCCAGTAAGGCCACACCCACTCCAACAAGGCCACACCTCCTAATAGTGCCACTCCCAAGGCCGAGGCCAAGGTGAACGTAGGCAATGGTTTCCTTTTATGTGAGGAACAGGGTTGTGCTGGAACTGGGGAGAAGCAGAGTAACCGCAATGCAGGGAGAGGCTTAGCAGAGGGCAGCCTGGCCTCTGGGCTATTGCAAGAGTCCTGTAGAAATAGATATGTTCTGTTGACTATAGAAATAAGGGTCTCACTGAGGAACTGGAACTTCCCCAGGAATCTCATGCTAGGAGAAGGAAAAGCCTGAGGAGGCCCTGCTGCCAGACAGAGGGGAACATGTCCGTCTCCTGGGAAGAACTCTCATGCAGTTTTCACAGACCACCTTGAGGAACTTGAGTCAATCAGTGATGGTCAACGGCTCGTTCCTCTTGCTATTTAAAACTGACGTCACGTCAGGACTTCTGTGGTGGACCTGCAGGGGCCCTGGACGTCGTTGTTCCTTCTTTCAATGTAGTCGCTTTCCT